AAGGAAAAGAAGAACGCCACTCTCTTTGCACACTTACAATCATCAATTTCTCTCTTCTATAATAACAGTATAGGTTGAGATTATTTTCAAGTAAAATACTTCTGAAATGAAAAATCTTGTGCTTCTAATTTGATGTAGTTATTTGCATTGTTTGAGAAAAGGTTTGCAAGCTGAGTCTTTTAATTTGAAATATTATAACAATCCATATAATGTAATGAACTGATTTTATTCTGGACTTGAAATGTTAGAGCATCTCCAATTGCATTTTGGATTGCTATATTTTGTTGCCCGAGAATCATAGTAAACCATTTTTTGGTTTGAACATATGTGGGGACAATAATTAAAGTACGATGCCAAAAAATTAGGAGATGTTGGAGAATGTCGATGCGAACCGAACTTTCGAGTGGAATCGGATCGTAGTGGCGGGAGTAGTTAATATTATTTATGTTAGTTAAGTAATTAGATAGGATTATTACGTTAGTTATAGTTTAAATATTTGAATGGTTATTTAGGATAAACGATTTTGCTATGAAGCCAACAGTTGGCTCCATAGTGGAGTCAACCTTCTATATACAACAAATAAACCTACCATATTAATAAAATTATATTAGTGTCATTTAAGTAATCAGTCATTTAAGTAATCAGAGAATATGGTAGGTTTATTTGTTGTATATAGAAGGTTGACTCCATTACGGAGCCAACTGTTGGCTTCATAGCAAAACCGTTAGGATAAATTTGAATATTTGAATGTTGTTTGTGTGTTATAAATAGGATCTGTGTATGCATGTTTGAAATGAAGTTTTATGAAATAAAGTTTAAGAAAAAGGCTCGTTTCCGAGTACTTTCTTTGTAAACTGAGGGTGCAGGTTTTTCACTTATTAATGTGTCAATCAAGGCCGTCAGTATGTATTTACACATTTTATCGTGTTCGAACTAAGACCGTTAGTACGAGTTCTTACATAAAATCGAGTGATGATACACGATCTTGATCAAATGTTTGTCAATCGATTCTCATAGAAAATGAAATATATTCGGATAATTATGAACTTGAAAATAATTTACATTTCAAACTTAAAGAGGGCTTTCCGTGAGAGAAGCAGGGGAATTAGGCTTTCTTATATTGAAAAAAAATAAAAATATTTTTATTTAAATTTAAAAATAAAAAATAATTATTCATAACTTACGGATCAATATTAACTTGGACGTAAACGAAATACTCAATTATTTATAGTTTAATAAATTACTCAACTACTTAATTTTTTTGATTTAGTAGTTTATATATTAATAAATTATTTTAAGTAATGAAACAATATAAATTTTATATTTATACTTATTATTCACATAGTTTGTTAAATATATGATAACATTTTACCAAAATAACTATTTTATGGAATCACATATAGTCAAAACGATTTTCTGAATAAAAATTTAAAAATGATACATATTTTGAAAAGAATATGATATAATTATTATTAGTTATGTGCACCGCACGGGTTGTGTATTAATTTTAAATAGACATTTTTATGTAATTTTGCACAATTTAAATTTTATGTAACATTTTCAATATAATAACATAATGATTATAGCAGACGATCCAATAAACAAAGCCGTTTATGTGAATAGAACAACAGTGAGAGACATCGAACATGGGTCCATGAGGAAATGCGATTCTCTTCCAGACGCCGGTTTTGAGGGACAACACCTCAGCCTCAAACTCCGACCAGTCCGTAGTGGGATTAAAATAGGGATCATCTTCATTGTGCTCATTAGTGTCGTAATAATCAATCCTTGTACCCCTGACCACCTTAAGGTCCTGAGATAAGGAATCAAATTCGACACCCCAAAGAATATTATCCCAATCATGAAAATTAGGCAGGCGGGGTCGATTTCGAAAAGGGCTAGGGTTTTGAACTCGTCGGTGGAAGGGTTCCACAGATGATAGGTGACAAGTTCGCGTTCTTTCAGTTGTGCCCAAAACAACAACCATGAGTAGAAGGTTGCTACAACACCAGTGGATTTGCTTTTAGTTAGTCGGGAGAAGTTGGGAATTAGATGATTGTTTGGCAGTGGTTTGAAGGAATTGTTTTGCATTGAGAGGGCAGAGTATTTGCGGTCTTTATTGTTGTTGCTGTTATGCATAATTGGGAGCTCCATCAAGTTGATGTCAACAATGCCTTCTTTCATGGACATCTTGATGAGGAAGTCTATATGTCTCCTCCTTTGGGTTACAACAAAGCTCAGCCAGGTTATGTTTGTAAACTTAAAAAGAGCCTTTATGGGCTTAAGCAAGCTTCACGGGAATGGAATAAGGAACTCAGCCATAAACTTCACCTCTTTGGCATGGTACAATCTCCACATGACCACTGTCTTTTTACTTTAACAAGGGGATCAGAATTTTTGGCCATTTTGGTGTATGTTGATGATGTACTACTTACTGGTAACAGTGCTCCTAGGGCCTCCTCTTCCTCTTCCTAATTGCCATTGACCTCCTAAATTCCAATTCTTCCCACCTCGACCACCTCTGCCCTGTCCTCTTCCAAAGTTATCCATTCTAGCAACCATAGCCACATTGTCAAATCTGGTTTCAAAATCATTCTGAACTGCTTTCTGTCTTTCAGCACTTAAAAGCATTGAATATGCTTTGTTGATCGATGGTAGAGGATCCATTAACAT